TAGTGACATCAGCCCCAGTCGTTTCTACCACTGTTGTTGTCTCAACAGCTGCAGTTGTTGGTTCAGCCGTGGTCGTTTGTATCTCTCTAGAAGTAACATCAGCCGCAGTTGTACCCACCACTGGTGTTGTCTCAGCAGCTGTGGTAGCGTTCTGCGCCCCAGTTGTTGTCTGTGGGGTAGTGACATCAGCCCTAGTCGTTTTTACCACTGTTGTTGTCTCAACCGCTGCAGTTGGTGCTTCAGCCGTGGTTGTCTGCGTCTCTTTAGCAGTGACATCATCCACAGTTGTGTCTACCACTGTTGTTGTCTCAACAGCTGCAGTTGTTGGTTCAGCCGTGGTTCTCTGCGTTTCTGCAGCCGTGACATCAGCTACAGTTCTTTCTACCACTGTTGATCTCGGAGCAACTGCAGTCGTTTGAATGGCTGTGGTTGTTTCATTCTTTGTGGTAATGAAATCAGTGACAGTTGTGTCTACAGCTGTTGTTGTCTTTGCTGCTTTTGTAGTTTGCTGCACACCGGTTGTAGTCTCTGCGGCGGTGACATCATCCACAGTTGTATCCACCACTGATGTTGTCTCAGCAGCTTTGGTAGTTTGCTGCGCACCGGTTGTTTTCTGTGAGGTAGTTACATCAGCAACAGTTGTCCCTACCACTGTTATTGTCCCAACAGCTGCAGTTTTTGGTTGAACCGTGGTTGTTTTCGTCTCTTTAGAAGTAACATCAGCCACAGTTGTCTTTTCCGCCATTAGTGTCTCAAGAGCCGAAGTTGTTAGTTCAGCTGTGGTTGATTGTTTTGTTGTTTTGTTGGTAAATACAGTTGTTGGTTGCACTTTGGTTATTTGTGTCTCTGTGGTAGTCATGTCAGCTGCCGTTGTCTGTACCACTAGCGTTGTCCCAGCAGCTGCACTAGATGGTTGGGCTGTGGTTGTTTGCGTCTGTGTAGTACTAGTTTCGTCTGCTACAGTTTCCTCTACTATTATAGATGTTTCAACAGCTGGAGTTGTTAGTTCAGTTGTGGTTGTTTGAGTCTCTTTAGTATTGACATCAGTTAAAGTCGTCTTTAACTCTGTAGCTATGACAGCCGTTTTAGATGCTTCAGTAAAGTGTCCTGAAAGAGAAGGATCCGATTTGAAGGGTGAATATTTTATCAACTGAATTGCAGTTATATATGCGAAAGTATTTGAGTTTGAAGCAGTCAGCTTGGCTTGAGTTAGAAACTGGGACAGTAACTATTGTTGCAAGCATCAGTAGCTTATATATTCTTACTCCAATGCACCAGCGTTGATTTGAGATCAAGCTTCAAGAAAGATGTGGATTTAAAACAGCAACAGACCTGCATGCCCTTGATACGTTATTCAAACCCTTAAAAAAGTTTGGTTTCTACCTCCATCCTGATCTTGGTAGTAGTTTTTAGCGCCATTTTTACACGGCATGACCGACGTTGGTGTCCAGTTTATACAGTGTACGCAGGGAGGCATTCAGCGCGTTAAGAGGACGTGTTCTAGCGTTTCATTTGGACCGAGTTATCGAGACATTTTTTTTGTCCCGATAACGTTTTGGTCCCCTCAAAACAGGTGAAATATCAAGTGTATACCCCACTACTACGGCACATGTATTATACGTGGACAATATATGTAAACGTACGTCACGCACAAATATCTACACACACATTCCAAATCCTTGCTAGAGGGTGCTTCGTACATGCTCACGAACCACAGACATATGAACGCATAGACCGTCGGTCTTGCGGGTGTAACCGTGATTTTGAAAAGTATGGGCCAACAATGGGCGACGCGATGGAAGGCAGCGCGTTCAGTGCGCATTACGCGCAACGCACTTACAATGCCTGTATTTGTTTGCATGTGCTTCCAAAATACGTTCACCTCTTTGCTCTTTGGTACTGCTATCTCTTCTTTTCAAATGTTGCAACCGCTTTTTTTTTAATAAATAAGGGACAGATTAAGTAAATAGAGGACTTTTTTATAATCGAAAAATGGTTTCGTAGTATTTTATGGCTGGGATTCTTCAACTGCGCGTGAATTTCCTATGCCAAGGGGTGAATTTGCCCAAAGTTTTTATTTTAGTCGAGCGCTGCAAAGATCACGAAAAACCCCTGTAGTTTTAAATAGGACCTGGCGGTCTATGCGTTTATATGTCTGTGTCACAAACCGCTCAGCGCAAAGGACTTTGAAGCGCCCTCTACCTGTTAATTGCTGTAGAGGTGAATGCATCGCAATCTACAACACAGCCGCACAAAGGACGTTTTGCACCAAAACTACCTCCATCCCCACTATTCATTCCAGGCACCCTGAAAAAAGCAGTTAAATGAATAGTATTTTTCACAGGGTAAATGACCAATCATGCGTCAAACTAACATTATGTACCGTCAAGAAACATATCTTCTCTAAGATCTTAGGCAGTTTGTCCCTCTTTTTTTCTCCTTTTCGTCTCTCTTTGTAAGAATCTTTAAGCCCTATAATATGATACAAGTCTGCCCGAATCCGTGGATTTCCCCTGCATTATTATTTTATCCGTGGGTTCAGTCCCATCTCTGACTTGAACGACTAAGCCGGCATGGGTCGCTGCTTCACACAACTTACGTTTCATTACTTTTTGTGTGAAGAAACATTAATGCAAATTAAAAATGATGCTGCTTCTCAAGGAAAGAAATTATTTTGTAAAAACGAAGTACAACAAAGTTGATGATATACGACCAAATGATGGATGTAAAATAAATGTAAGTTACGTGGAATTGACAAGTCGGATAAATGCTGAACAGCAGGCTTATCTTGCGTGTTACACATACGGGTAGGCTTACTGCTGATACTGACATCCCATTCAGGTAGACACTGGTACCAGCAGATTTGTACTGGCCTGCATAGTCAGTGTAATTTTTCCTAAATTCACTCAGACACAAGCTACTTTCAAAGCCCATGGGAAGACACACTTCCAAGTGAGACACCAATGACCAATAGGGTGGGTACAGGAGTGAGGAATACTAAAGGAATTTAGGTTCAGTACAGTCTAGATCTGAATGGCTCTAAGTAATTAGTCAATACATTGTGTATACATGAATTTGCTGACAGATACACCGTTCCTTGAATGCCCATACATTCATACACACATCCTAACCAACCTCATTCTCATTTAAACCGTTTAAGTAGAATTACAATATGCCAAATTTAGTTTATAAACTAAAGACGTTAGACCTTACACATGTCTAATGATTGATATCCCCTCACCCAACAGCTTCACCCCATCTCCAAATTTATCTCCAACTCCACCTTTTTAAAATCCTGTCACCTATTTTACTATTCTATATTTACTACCTATCTCAATATTCTATCCATCTCCTACTTGCCACCTCATCCCCATCGTCCCATCAATCTCTGACTCCCACCCAGGCTCCATTACCCTATCAATCTCTTACTCCGCCCGCTAACCATTACCCTATTCATCTCTTACTCTGCCCACCACGCAATTACCCCATCCAGTCTTACTCCATCCACCACCCCATCCATCTCTAACTCCGCCCATCGCCCAATCATCCTATCCATCCGTGACTCCGCCAACCACCCTTTTCATCCAAAACTGTCCCCTACCCCATCCCTTACATGAATGCACCGAAACCTGCATTGTAAATGTAAGCATACATGTATATGTACATTACAAGACTGCACAGTACGCACATGCATACATGTACAGTATGTGTCTATGCAATACAAAAACCCTGTTTGGGAATCCACTTTCTTCATTAAAATATGTAAACAGCACAAGAAAATGTTCTGAGCTGAGGTTCTGATCCTGATTAAAGTACAGATTGAACAAAACAAATGACACATACTATAACCTATATACCCACAAGCAAACAATTTTAACATTGGGCGGACGGCCAGACGGCCCGCCCTACTCACCACATTGGCGCACCATGAGGCACGCAAGGATATGCGCGTATGACCATAGAGGAAGGACACAGAAGGCATATGCAGCAAGGTTGAGACGGAGAGAACCCCCCCCCGGCTTTGTGTTAGTCATTGTCTCGCAGGAATCTGGGGAATTCCTTTCAAACATCTGGGGGGGGGATGTGTTAAGTAACAATAGTCTGGAATGTGTATAGGGATTGGACATATTGGGGGGTATCCCTCGGTCTCATTTCCTGCTGGGTATAACAGAAGGAGTTTGAACTGCCCAGGCTGTAACATTTGGCCAATTACCACTTTCTGGCATGCCTGGTATGTCCATAGCCATAACGCAGCGAACGCCTGCTACGCAACATCAGTTTCACAATCACGAAACCCCTTTGTACCATATGATCGACGCCGCACTTTGTCGATGCTAATCTGCATCCTTAAAACTTCATTTGAAGCGAGATATGGGACAGAGAGAACCCCCCCGCCTTTGTATTGGTCATTGTTTGATCAGACTCTCAGGAATTCTTTACAGACTTCTAGGGGGATGTATTTGGTAACAATAGTCAACAGTATGTATAGTGGTTGGACGGGTAAGGGGGTACCCCTCCGTCCCATATCTTGCCTAGTATATAAAACTTTGTGTACTGAGGTATAGGAAATTGAACATTTATGGCTTTGCTGGTGCTTGGACGATCTCATGACATCAATTTAATGCTTCCACAGTTGCCTGCATTATGCTGTGTGCCCTAAATCTATATGTGCAGTCATTGGCCTTAATGAACTCTTTCTTCTGGAGTTATTTTGGAATAAAGAACCCGTTTTTTCAAGAGTTTGTGTTTTATTTAAATCGTTTTTATTATGGCATTTGTACAAACGCGTATTTTAGGAGATTTCACAATCACTGCCTGTGATGAAATAGCGCATTTTATTCCTAATGAACGTAGCCTCCCAGCAGTAGTGAACATTTTGTTGGCCAGTAGTAGCCAAATTCGTACCCAGTCTTTGAACACTGATGTGTATTGGATGGAGGAGAATAAAATTACAAACTTTGCATGTATAATGGAACAGTGTATCAAAATGTAAAAAGTTTATTGACGATGGCAAAAGTAGGTCTACAATCAGGAATTTTCTCTCTCCATTTCTTGGTCATATCGATAGTTTGTATTTAAATGCTGAGATACAGGCAGTAATCAAGCATTTTAGAAATGTTTGCTATTATTCGTTTGACTCGGCGGCGACCATCATTGAACACTTTGAAGTACCTTAGTTGCAACTCCTTCTGTGTCCTTCCTCCAGGCTAGAAGACACTCCTGGGTAACTAGTGCCTTTAAGTCTAGATATCAACAATTTTCCCACATCAAACTGGGTTTGACACTCCGTCCATCAGTCTGTCGCAGTTGACCATTCATGTTTACCAACAAGTTCATTTTATACTTCAGCGGGTAAAACGCGCACTAATTCGCAATAATATAGACTAGATCGGTAGATAATGCATCAAATTGTCTAACTGTTATTAATATTATTGTTTAATTGACCAAAACAGAACAGAAATGTCTAACCAATCATGGACATGAAAGTAAAACAAGCAATACAAAAGATATTGAACGAAGAATGCAAGAGGGGACGAATGGGCAGACGAGGGGACAATGGGCAAACAACAACTGAATTCGAAGAAAAAGCAGGTGCTGGTTATGTGGGTCAGGGACTGCACAAGTTATATTAAATGTCTTCTCGATGACAGAGAGAGAGATAGAGAGCCAGTTAAGGCCATCAGTCCTGTCGTTATATGACATCTGATCTCGCCGTTGTTGGGCACTGCAAGCTGCGGTACCTTGCACACGCTCTATCTCAATATGCTTGGAAAGTGTATGCTTGCCCTGGCAACAGATTCTTTTCTGTGCAGGGGGGATACAAGCTTAGTGCGTCAAACACGAATTGTGTCAAACTCAAAATGAAACACAAAGCGCCGTTTAAGTGCACAATAGTGCCTTCTAAATTTGGACCAGAAGTTGTTTTACAGTAGCAAATTTTTCAGCTTCTGCCCAGGTTCGCTGGTATGGGCATTTAGGTTTTAGCCTTCAAAGAAAGTCGTTATAAACTTGCAGGGACCAGACACGTTGACAATAACATGTACTGTAATATAACCAGGACTTTGTGAAACCATACAATGAATAGGACAATAAAAAAATTAAATAAGTATACAAGAACTTACGATTCTCGAAACTGCTCTTTATTACAGTATTTCGTCATAAAAGTGTTTTTTATTACCAAGGTCGACTGTAATCAGAACCGAAACTGTATCATGCGATGTGTGTACGCGCGATGGGACCATCAGGTGTCTTTTTTTTCAGGCCATATATTCACTTGGGTGTTTAGGGTGGTAAGCCAGTAAATGGGCCCAAATGTGCAGACTAAACAAAGATTTGAATGCTGAAATAACAGTACCTTGTGGCGCGTGGATGGGAGGGCTTATGAAAAAGAAGGACAGGGACTATCAGCTGGCATTTTCTAAAATATTGGTC